CTCTCTGTTTTTGTTCGATTAAAGGTACCTCGTTGAAATCTGTATGTTGTTAGCACTAGTAGTCTTTGAAATTCCGTCATTTCTTTTAATTTGAAAATGCATGGGAATTTCACGCGCCTTAGAGAGCGCGCTCTGAATTTGGCTCGACAGTTAGGAATTCCGGAATTAACGGAATGCGGCGTGACCTTTCGCGCGCGAATGTTCTCGGCCTCGACATAGAAGACTCTGGGAATTTTGTACGGACTTTCTTTCTTTTCCCACGTCTACTTTTCGCGCGGATATGGTGATTTCAATTTTTGAATTAGCGTAGAGTTGGGAAAAACTGCAACTGTTTCGGTGCCCATTCTTCTTTTGCTGTCCGGCACCATGCAAACGAGCTCCCTCCTCCTTCCTTCTTGCACCCCTCTCAGCGCCTTCCCTCGCTCACATATGCTTTCTCGCTCCCTCCCCCTGTAACTGTTTTTCTCTCTCCTTCCCCACGCGCGCCCTTTTTCTCTTTCTTGATCATCTGAATCTTGGACCCGTTTCGCGCTATCCTTCGCACTCCTCTTCTTCCCGCTCTAAGACCCGCGCTCGAAAAACCCAGTCGATTCTCTCTCCCCATCTAGCCAAGGAGAAGCGCCCTGAGAGAGGAGGTTCCTACTGCGCGACGATTCTGATTGGCTGAGATCGGGTTGTGAGGGATCAACATGGCTTTCAACGGGTGATTACTCTCAAGCCCTCCCTTACCCTCCTCTACCCTACTCTTCATCTTTCCCCGGATCTCTCTACCTTCCCGCAACAATAAATTCCGCCGGCGCATCCGCAAATCTCTCTCTCAACTCGTCAGCCAGCTTCCGTGAAGCACTAGCTAGATGATGTGTGTACAGTGCAAGTCGGAAAGTCCTGATGGACTGACTAGACTGGCTGGTTGTGCGCTAGATCGCCACGACGGACTGTGGGATCCGGGCAAGCCACGTCGAGGCTAAGCTGGCGGGGTGACGATCGCAGTGGTGGATGGTAACATGCGACGACCGGGATCGTCGGTGCATGAATGAGGATGAGTAATCCGAGTTGAGTGGATGACTGGCCCGGGGCCATGTTGGAATTTGGCGGCGAGTACACCCTCCTTGTTGCGAATCCATTCTTTGGTGTGAGCTCACGGCGGTATAGTTGGGTTTATAGAAGGAATCAAGGGATTACCACTCAGTTCCCTGCCTCCAGGACTACGCCTGAGTCCCGGCAGAGCTCCCGCAATCGGTGGGGCAACCTCCCACAAGGCCTTGGTGCGGATTACGGGTCACAAGCCCGCCTGCCGCCTTCTTCTCCAAACCAGTGGACCAGACTCAGAGGAAGAAGGACAGAATGAGAAAGTCTGAGACTCTCAGATCCAGGAGGGGTACACTCAGACTCGCGCGAGAGGGTCTTCAAGTCTTCAGAGCCTGAGGGCCCCACAATGGTGGCCAAACCCAACAACCGCTCGGTCGACACTGCAGTCAGACTGCGAAGTAGCCTCGTCAGCCGAATCCCCAACTTGCAACAATACCCCCTTCGTCACCACTCCCCCAAGCTGCGGCAGCAACCTTTCTCGCAGCCTAAGCAGTCCCCTCGCGCTACACCTCGGCTTCTCGTAGCGGGGCTGCAGCCACATAGCTTTAAACAGCCGTCCTCCAGGCAATGCAGCGGTTCATCTCAGCGTAACTCTTCCCTCCTGGCTTGATATTCTCGCCTGTCTCTTCCTCCCTCCTTCTCTTCTCTCGCTGATATGAATAACTATGCATGATGAGTCAATCTTTTGCTTGTGATGGAATGAGCATTTGTGAATGTGTGCTCGGAAGAACTTCTTCCGGAACTCTTCCATTAGTTTCCTGGGTAATCCCCGGACCTACTGAGATTTAATCGTCTTGTCTTGTGAATGGTGGATGCGCGTGTAGCGACAATCAGCGATCTAAAGGGATTGTGATTACTTGCCTTTGACACGATAGGGCATGGGTATTGCATGTCTGTCGTTTTCGCACCTTCCACAGTGAATGTATGCATATCGGATGAAAATGATCGAGCACGAAACTCGTCTTGGTTAGGATACTGGTCGGACAGATCGATGATAGGGGCAATGTTGTTGGGATTTTGTTCGAGAATGCAAGAGTGTTTAGATCTGTTGATGCTGTGATTACGGAAGAGTACCCCGGGAGCTGCCGTTCGGGACACACTGCACATGCCATCTGCCTTATGCTGCACAACATATGCAGCATACCCTCGTAGAGTAATGAGGGACTCCAAAGCCACGTGCGATCGGTACATGTGAACAGTGGCCGCGTCTCACCACACATGAGTTTTTATCTCTCTCTGAACTTTCCTTTCCTTCTTCGTTTTTAGGAGTTTTGATTCTGGTTGGATCGATAGGTTGTGTGTTTTTCGACTAGTATCGATTTTGGGCCTACGATGAAATGATTGAGGATATCTTTAGCGCTTGATTGATTGTCATGTCGACTGACGGGCTCAACCCGACTAGGCGTCGGCCTCCCGTATCC